ACAGCAGTATAACACCAAGTCTAAAATATACAAGTCTACCCTAACAATAAACCAAAATAAACTCATAGCTTATTCCAACAGCAGTATAACACCAAGTCTAAAATATACAAGTCTACCCTAACAATAAACCAAAATAAACTCATAGCTTATTCCAACAGCAGTATAACACCAAGTCTAAAATGTACAAGTCTACCCTGACAGTAAACCAAAATAAACCCATAGCTTATTCCAACAGCAGTATAACACCAAGTCTAAAATATACAAGTCTACCCTAACAATAAACCAAAATAAACTCATAGCTTATTCCAACAGCAGTATAACACCCAGTCTAAAATGTACAAGTCTACCCTGACAGTAAACCAAAATAAACGCAATCATAGTTTGATGAGGAGGAACCCACTTTGAGAATAATTTTGCTCGGAGACGGCTTGAATGGGTAATGAAGAAAAACTTTAATATAAGTTCAACATAACAGCAAATGTACAACATTTCAACAAGGTTTTGTAGCTGTTTAACCTAGTAGCAGTATAAAACCAAGCCAATACTGCCAGTAAGTCTAAACCAAACTGAATTCATATACTACTCCTATCAGCAACACCATACCAAATCTGTCTCACACTAAGGTAACTTAGAACCAACAGTTAAGCCACTGCAATAATGCTTATATACGTAACAAAAAAAAAACAAACATAATTCTTACACATCACAATTTGTATTAACTATAACACTAAATAACCACTGACAAAATTGATAAACTCTGTTAGAAACTGTGTCCAAAACTCTTCACTAAGATCTATATCACCTACATTACTTTGGTATGTATTACACAAACACACAGTGTCCAAGATTTACAGAAATATCACATAAAATCAAATTTTTTTCATTGACTTACTTTTTATCATTGTAACTGATATTAGCTTGTGGAAAAACCCATGAAACAGTCCAATAAATGGTTCGATCCCTTAGAAAACAAAATATGTTAATTTTATAAACTTCATACAAATATAAACAAAACTATAAGTTACTTGTAATTAAGACAATGTTGATATTTTTTAAATAACTTTCACCGTCAATGCTGACTCTACTTTCTGAAGAACTTATTATTTTATTACTCAACAAATGTTATTCAATATTTGCTAACCTGAAATGGTTGTCTAGATAAAACATGATATACCACATTAACAACATCTTGCTAGATAAACTTTTTGTTTTTAAAGCAAAGCCACAATGGGCTATCTGCTGTGCTCACTCTAGGGAACCAAATCCTGGAATATATGATAGATAAATACAAGAATGTTTATTCAGCAAGTGCTATAAAAACACACATACCTGAGAGAAAAATGTGATTTAATTATTTAATATTTACTAGAATTAGTACATAATGAAATTTTCAATATCTTTTGATTAAAAACTGTTATTAATTTTAAGAAATTTACAAAAAAACAAAATTTGATTCTTTATTGAGTCCACAGCCTAGAAACAAGTTTTTGGTGGATCAGAAATGTACTAATAATCTCACTAAATGCCATCCTCAGTTAAAAAAATATTTTTTTGTGACTGTTTAATGAAAAATAATATCCTATAAGTAAGTAGAATAATTTTCTTACTTGTGCGAGTACCATGTTGAATTTTCTTTTCTTTTTGTGAAACAAGCAGGGAATATATTCAAAGTTGTCCCTCGTAATTTTGCCTCTACCTTAAGTCTGTAAAGCCACTGAAAAATTACAAAGGTTCTGTTGTCCAGCTACAGGCCTTCATATTTGTCAAATTCCTATCTTCTAATAACTTAAAATATTTTCTAAGTCAAGCTTTAAGGAGACATTTTCTGTGTACTTATTGAAACTTGATGTAAGTTACAATTTCCATATGTTTAAAGATTCTTTTTTTTTCGTATTTCAATACAAGTGGAGTGAATAATTTCCTTTAAAGTATCAGACTTATACAACGTTGAATGATCAAAGTAAAAAGGCAAAGTAACACTAGGAAAAAAAAGGACATTCAGCACATGCAAAAGCAACATCATCAAAAAGAAATAGAAAAAATAACTGATGAACATTTTAGGATGAAACAAGAAGGGTCTTGTACAAAGAAAATTTTGTGCTACTATAGCGTTCAGTCTAACCAGATACCATCATCATCACCATTTTAATGATTCACTAAAACATAATTTATTGATAAATAATTCACATCTATCCACGTTTTTGTTCAGCAAATAATAATAATTTAATAAGTTGTGTGTTCCAATAGAGTACCTTAAATTTAGGTTATAAATGTTCTAGTTTTGATTGTTGGAATTTATTTAATTCGTCTTATATTTGACCCCAAAACGTTATGTAATGGTATGATCTACTTTATTAGTTTAAAATCGTTATTTATAATAAATGGTGCCAATTGGAAATAAACAAAGTTAAAACGGTGATGATGGTAGTATCTGTGTAGACCGCACGCTAGTGTAAATATGTTTGTAGAACTCACGCTGTAGTACCAAAATTTTTTATAGAAAGATAGCAATGTTTTCTTGATGTTCTAGAGCATTATCACAGAAATAATATCAAATGAACAGACACCACAAATTTTTCAGCGATCACACCAGTCTATTTGTAAACTTTGTCTATCAAACAAATTTTTATTACTTAAAAAATAACTTTGGTAAAAACCATATGATGGACCCATCAGTTTTTTACGTTTGAGAGTGCATGACTGTATTAGTTGGTCTCCATAATAACATATATGCAAACAAAAACACCATCAATACTGCAATTAATTACACTAATTACATTAGAATTTCATATTATTTTACACAGAAAATAAATGATTTCACTTTTTTTTTCTTATCAATTCTTTACACCACTATTGTAACAACCATAAACAAACTATTTCAATATAATGTGGAACAGATTGGTAGTGTATGGTAATAAAAAACAAGTCAGTAATTTGAGGAGTACAAGTAATCAACTGTACAGGCATTGAATCTACTATAGAAGACACCTAACTGAAATTTAAAGGTCAGTTTTTATGCTACAATGACAGCAATACTAACTTTTCTTTCAATAATTTATAATTTGACAAAACAAATATCTTCCTCGTTTACAAGCTTATTAATAATGCACTGTTCTCCATCATCAAGTATTCACCAATGAAAGTTTTAACTCACATTTGGAAGATTGTTTCTAAGGCCACCAGCTCGTTTGAGTTTGTCTCGAGCAGCATTGTCTATAGCAGAAGCTGAGTCTTCCAAGAAACGATAATCTTGTACAAAAACAACAACATAAAAATGTGTATATTAACATTAAGTAAACTTACAGGCATGTGAGAAAAACTAAATTTGTCAAATTCTGTCTTGTAACATGCTGAAAGTTGGTACTATATATACATACACACACGTGTAACAGGCTGTCAACTTCTTTCTAAAGTTTTATCTGTGCATGGTGAGAAACCCAGGTCTGTGCACATTGTTAGTCAGTAGTACTATAGTGGACCTTTAACAGTTGGTGAATGTGTAGTGGATGGTTAAAAGTCAGGGGCTGTCCTCTAAGATATGGTTATTATTGAAAATGAGTAACTTATCATAATGCTAAAATGCCAAAAAAAAACATGTTTTTTAAAACACTTTGAAAGAAGACTTCCCTTTTTTAAAGGCTAGTTGAATTGGATAACAAAGTTGAGTAAACTATTTTCAAAACTGTGTTTTTGATAGTACACAGTAGCAGATCAAACATCACAAATCAAACTGCCAAGCAAAAAGCACAAGAACCATTTTAAAATTAGAGACAAGGGATGGGCTGTCCCAGTTTTTCAGTTTGGAAATCTGGTCACCCTATATGTAATACAAATAACACACTTAAATGAGTACAAGACAAAACTAATAATAAACAAGAGGGAGTGTGCGTATATCCGATTCAATTTTATTACTCATCAGAATCTCTACCAGCCTACCCTCAAATTGAAGTTATTTTAGGCAGGATTGGAATAAATTAATCTATGAGACCTTGGGCATGGTCGTATAAATCAATCAAAAGGGTTTGAGCTCCCGAGTACAAAACTGTAATCAAATCTCAAATCATTCAAGAGATAATGGAGCTATGAGCTAAAAGTTTGTACTTGAAAAAAAAACTCAAGAGCTGTTCTATGAGCCACTCAGCGATGGCTAAAACTGCTTAAAAGCTTGAATGAATTTTATATAAAAAAAAGAAGCATCATCCTCACCATTTAAAAGAGTCATGTCATTGAAATCTTGAAGTTTACAGTAGGCAGTTTTATCTCTAGTACCATCACAGCTTTCTTCTTTCTTGTGCTTCTTAACACATGCCAGAGAACAGGAGTATACAGAGCAACGAGGACAGCAGTACTTGGCAGATTCTTCACAACCACTACATTTCCTGAAATAAAACAAAGCATATCCATTACATAACTTCAAAAATTATTAACTACACTTTTTCCCATTCAGCTAATTTGTTCTAAATAGTCACCACACACAAGTACATCCATTTGTTTCTTTCTTTCTATGAGAATTTCATGCAAAACTACACAAGAGCTATGTGGACATAGCCATCCCTAATTTTGAACAAAGAGCTTAGAGGGAAGGCAGCTAAACAACAGCAACTCACTGCCAGTTCTTGGGCTATTCTTGTTTGATTGAATACTGGGATTTGGCTATCACTCTTATATCATATACAACTGATCATGTGGAATGTATTTTTGTGGCAACATAATGTACATTTACCTAAACATAGCGGTATACTGTGCTTTCAATTGGATTGGAATATTGACAGATGAAAATTTATTGGAGATTTAAATTTAATTAACTATAAAATTTAACTAGAGGTAATTTCCACAGTTCATTTTCAACATACTGTTGCTTAACTTTTGCCTATCATTGAATCATGTAATTCATTTCAAAATAAGATTCCACTTAGGCCTCATTCAGTTTCACTCTGGCTATTTAAGTTCATTTTAACACAAAGATGTGTTCAATGAGTTTAAAGTTAAGTCTAAACAGCACCTGAAACTTAGAACAGAAATTCACCGATTACTAATTACTGCCTGCTTTTCACGCTGACTGTCTTTAAGTTCTAATCTTAACAAGCTACACTTTAACACAAAATTACACAGCTCAAACTTATTCTTTCCTAGTATCTCTGTAACATTTTTCATAAGATTATCATTATTTAGATTGCATTCTAGATTTAATACTTAAATACAGTTAATATTATCTTTTAAGAAAATAAAAATAACTAAACATTGATCATCATCAACAAAATATGTGTACTTGGTCTGGATAAGGGCATTTTTTTAAATTAAATTAATGATCCTGGTGAAAAGTTGAGACTTTGGGTTTGGGAATCTTAGTAATTCAGTCAGTAAATCATCAGCCTCAGAGATCTAGTACGTGTACCGAGGGTCCTATGATTTAAAGACTTAGGGCAGATTTATTAGAATTGTTATACTATCACCTCCGTAGTGGATATCCCAACTTAGAGGACCATTTGAGCTGAATACATGGTAAATTTTGGCACACTGGTGAGCTCAGTCTACCATGTATACGTGTGTGATGGCTGGAGCTGCTGTGTTGTGTTGATGAACTAAGATAATGTCAGGATGTGTTATGGACTCAAGGATGAGTCTTGTCTGAAAATCAGGTTATTTTAACTGCCTGGATGGGAGATTCTTACTTGGAAGTTGAGTACTCGTAACTTAGTTGGTACAGCTCAACTTATTAAAGCACTAGTAGGAGCCAAGGATAGTTACAACAAATTTCTTAACAACCTGATGAGTTATAAGACCCAATTAAATGAAGTAAATGTGAGCTTATCATCCTTTACAATTTATTTTACTAAGAGTTTGGTATTAAGCACTATACATAAAGATGCTTTTAGATTAATAAATTTCAAGTATTTGAAAAACAGTATCCTATTGTATTTTATGGAGAATCTTAGAATTTCATAATTAAAATTACTTGGATATTTTTTCCACAGTGATTTTAAAAACATAAAAAAAAATTGGATCTTAGTTCATTGATAATTGCCAGTTAAGCCTGAATAAATATGTTGATATTGTATTTGTCTCCACAAATTACTATAAATTGTAATAAAAACATTAAAACATTTGTGCTATGCACAGTCATTCTGTACACACAAATTATGTAAATGACTATACAGATATAACACTGACATATTCTGAGAAGTATACAACTATAATTCTATCAGTAAAAAATGCTGTTATAATTAACCCTTACTTTATCTCCCAGAATTTTATTCCCAATGTTCGACTCACTACGAATCAACAAGTCTTACTCTTAGTCAAACAATCAGACTATTTACAATGAAGTCTTAGTTTTAAAATTTGGTCAAAAACCTCTACATCACAATTTATTGAATCACAGAAACTGGACAATACCAATGACTCTGAAGAATATGTTATTCTTCCTCTAACAGTGGTGAGAATTTACATGAACATTTAATACATTTTTAAACACACAATATTTATTTCACTATTTCCATTGACACCAAAGTACCACAGACTTAAAAATTATTTCATCTGCTGCAATCATTAAAAATGTTACTTTTTTTTTTAAACATCTAACACTGGAATGTAAGTTAAAGGTTGAGATATAGCAAAATTCACCTGATATACTTTCACTGATTTTAGGATTTAAATACTTGTCTATACAGTTTCACTTTTAACTAAGCATATCCAAGATCTCCAATCTGTTAGCATTAAGGCTGATAAGTGATATACATTAGTCAATTGTAGTAATACTAGTATTACTACAAGTACAACTGAATAATATTTATCACTTATCATCCATACTAATAGTAATACTAATAATTACCTAAAAACAATGTAACAAGTCACTTGAAATTCAATGTTTGTCAATCCCTAATTTCGTAAGGCATGTCTTCTCAAGGTATTGACAGTTTATGCTTTAAAATATTTTTAAAAATATGTATGTTACCCTTAAACAGTGAATGTTTATTTCATTATTTCTTGATATTATTATTATTAATATCGTTCTAAAAGTAAAACTTACTACTCAAACTCAAAGTGAGAATAACTCAGTTAAAAACCGTTGCCTCTGTTGCAAATGTAATACAATTGTATTCTATCGAATTATAGGTAATTTCTCAACAACGGTAAGGAAATGCCTTATTTTAAAACATGGAACAGAGTTAACGAAATGGTCGAACAGAAATGTAAAATTTCAGGTATTTGCTCTGTTACTGAATGTTAGTGTTAAGCCTACCTTTTAACTAATCACCACAATGAACTAGGCAGTCATTATACACATATATATTCACAACTTTGAAAGTTACTGTTATTTTAAGTAGTACTAGGATATAATCTTAAAAGGGCACATAATTAAATTGGTGATATTATTTTACAAAGGACATTGTTTAGGTCAAACAGCAATTATTTAAAACAATTACTCCTGAAATATTTTTATGCGATAGGTGTCACTAAGTGTAAAAAATGCCGGCTTGTAAAAGGTAGAGTATGAGTATAGGACACATGGATAATAAGTATTATTAATGTCGCTTTGTTAAGCATTTGAAATGAGTTTTTAATTTTTTTTTTTAAATATATAGGTTACGTCTCTGCAGAAAGACATACTGTTTTTCTATTGTTTCTTCTTCCAAACACTTTTCAATCGATCTCAGTTATTTCATTCCTTGGCGAATTGCTTTGAAAATTGGTAGAGTTATATATTGGTCCAATACGCCCAGACACCTTATTTTATTTTCTTGGGGTCTTTTTTAGGATCGTATGGGATCGAAAGTCAAACAACCCAAAAATGTATATTTTGAGCTCCTGTGCAGCCATACTTCCAGTAATCAAGATGGAAAGTGGTATGAATATAAATTTTCATGCGTCCAACACATTGACATACAAACAAGTTAGATTTGCCAAATTTGAGTCTTTTTCTGGGAGGTAAGAGCTAATAAAAAGCATAATTTTGGGGTCAATCGCTCGGCCATATTTTAACCAATTTACATGAGATTTAGTACAAAAAACACTTGTTTACGGGTTCCATACATATACATACAAAAATGTAGGATATGCTCATTTTTGGTCATTTTAAGGTGGTCAAAGGGTTAAATAAAACCATAATTTTAGGAATTTTGGTCAATTACTTACCCTTCTTTCGACCAATTCACATGGAATTTGGTACAAAGATACTTTTTTGCAGGTCCGAAACAGAGATATAGAGAATTTTTGTCTTTTGCTCAATTTCTCAGCGAGGAAAGCACAATTTGGAATTTTCGTGAATTATTCATGTGTATGTCAACCTATTTACATGAGATTAGGTATAAAGATACCTTCTTACAGGTCCCATGTTGCATTCGCCTATGAATGTTGACCTCCTTAATTTACTATATAATCATCATTTACTTTCCGTTCTATTATTCAGAATAGGATCGTCAATTGTATTTTGTGATATTTAAATTTTTATGTTTTAAGTTTGTTTGTTGAAGAGCAAAGAAATAGTGAGCTGTATGCTGTGTCTTAAGGTTGTAAATCAGTAGACTTGCCTATGTCCCACCAGGGAACTTTAAATTTAAGAGACTTGTTGGTAGTTAATATAACGTTAAACTTTCATTTTCAGAAATCTTCTAAATCTCTCCGATTTTTGTTCTAAAACATACCATAAAGGCTTAGGAAAACAACTTCTCCAAGTGACGTAAAAAACATGCGGTTTATCAAGACTGTTTTAAGCCTACATTTTATAAATGGTACTCTATGATAAACTGTTAGTCTAAGCTATATTTTTATGTTGTAATTTAGATGTTAGCTACACAGTGCATGATGTTAAAATTGTTTGGTTTGGCTTGTTTTGAAAAGCTATCTGTGCTAGCCGTCCATAATTTACTAATCAACACCACCCATTGCCATGTTTTGGGGTACCAACGAATAAAGGAATTGACCGTCACATTATAACGCCCCACTGGTGAAAGGGCGAGTGTCTTCGGTGACGAGTATTTGAATATACGATCTGCAAATTGCGGGTCGAGTACCCTAAAAACCAGAGCATACAAAACCAAGTGTTAAGGTCGAAAAAATAAAAAATGTAAGCTTACAAAGTTCTAAAACTTTAGGCGTCAGATTTCGTAGTAGTTTCGAGGAAAATATTATGAAAACAAGTTTCAGTGAAGCATATGGTAAGAGACTGAGAGTTGTTTCTAGTCAGTAGAGTGAATCAGTCAGAGAGTGTTTTTGTTTCAATGAGCAGTAAACCAGTCAGCGTTTTATTTTCAATAACTTTATCGATCAGCTCTAAAATTATACAAGTACGTTTATTTTTACGTTATCGGATAACACGCTTATCGTGACTTTAAACGTAGCTTGCAAGTCACCATATTGTTTGAACTTGCAGAAATGTTAAAGAAGTAAATAAACTAATTTGTTATCGTTAGGTGGACTGGACGTTGAATTATTTTCAGTAAGTAATTTGAAACATCTCTCCAACGAAAGAACAATCGTACGATATTATTGGTGTTGACTGTAAAGAAATACATTATGTCATTTATATTTATAGCAAAGATATTAAGGCTATCTTCCGCCATCCCTAATTTTGAGCTACTGACCAAAAGTAAGGCCTACAGTCAGCATCTACGTTAAGAGGTTGGCTTTCACTTTTATAACACATCCACAAATTAAAATGTAAGAGGGGATATTTTGTGGTATCACACGGATTCTAGGTTAATTCTCCAGCTTCGAAATCCAATGGTCTACCAAAAGGTCAATCCGTGCACCTTTTACAAGATTCAATTAATATGAATCATTTAGATAATGATGAAGTGCCACTGCTTTATAACAAGCCCCCCCCCCCTCCCAGTGGCACAGCGATATGTCTGCGGACTTACAACGCTAGAAACCGGGTTTCGATACCCGTGGTGGGCATAGCACAGATAGCCCACTGTGTAGCTTTGTGCTTAAATTCAAACAAACAAACAAGCCTTATAACAATTAATATTTTTTTCCTATAAAGTATTTGTATTTTCATACAAAATTCCGACAATTCAATTTTTGATGTTATCAGCAGTCATATTTTAGAAGTAAAACGTGCTAACGTGTAGGCAGTATGTTTCTTCAAATAAGCTTGTAAGTTTGGACTTTATCTTTTGTAGTTGACCATAAAATATTAACATTAATATTCCTAACTGCTTCATGAAAAAAATCTGCGCATCTAATATCGCTGGATAAACTCTTATCAGTGTCATATACAAAAATGTTCATTACATTTATATTAAATCGTTATTTTGAAAAAAACAAAAAAACAATACTTTTTTGTACATTTTGAGCACCCTTCCTTATGATATATATTTATGTGTGAGTGTAGGAAGAAGTAGTTCACCATATATAACAATAATCATACGTTGCGTGTATAGGATACACTCACAAACTAAACGAATACGTCACCAAAAGCCGCTCGATAAACTGCGCAGGAGTTTTTCATTAGTGAGAACCGACACGACCGAAGAAGAAGAAGGAGCGATACTCAACAACACCTTCTACTAGATATACAGTTGTTATTTAATGTTTTAAGTGGTGTACAAACCATTAGAGAAAGATGCGTCTATTTCTGTTGCTGACGGTGATATATTCGAGTGTCAGTCACAGTACGAGCTTGAGGTCTTTAAGGAATACTGGACACAACCAGGAAGACGTAACTAAAAACTTGAACATCGCCGTAGTTTACCCGATCAATGGCACAGGAGGATGGCTGGGTGGCCAAGGATGTCAACCGGCGGCTACAATGGCTCTTGAAGATGTCAACAACTTACGTAATCTCCTGCCTGGATACAGACTATGGATACATTCGAGGGACAGTGGGGTAATACATTTTAAAATACCCATCAGCTCATTAACTACAGTATAACAATTGCACCGTTACAAATTATGTATTTCTTTTTTGTATACGGTTTATTAACGGCAAGGAATCAGAAGAGAGAAATCTCTATTAACGTATGATATAGCTTATGAAATAACGAAATTATAAAAAGATACAAAACGTTTTCCATGTTTTCAAATTGTTTGTATCGAAAATGAAATAGCACACCAATACTTTTTCTCGTGTTCAAATTTCAACGAAACTATTTCATTGTGATTATACGTAGGTGTAGTAGATTAATGTATGTGGGTTTTAATTAAATTTGTTTTCTACAAAAACATTAAACGAGCAATAAAAGAATGGGTGTGTATTCGATAAATAAAACATCGAAATCTATTATTTATAAACTTTTTCTGCTCTGGTTCTGAGTAAATTAAATCATTGTTTTTATTTGTGCTTACGTAAATTTGATTGTATATATGTCTGTTCAAACACAAACCTGCACACAGGGTTATGTGCGTTGTGCCCACTACAGGAATCGAACTTTAGTGTTATAAGCCCTCGATATTAGCTGAGCCATTGGGAAGGTTAATTGTATATGTGCTTTGTTTATATCAACCAGAGTTTTAAATAATATACTTTTCTGAGTACAATTACAATTATAAATAACTCACCAAGGAGTTCTTGTTTTCCAATATAACCATTCTGATTGAAATATTATAAATTACAATTTCAGATATAAAAAATAAAAAACTGTAGCACTTTGACTGATCATTTCTTGTACTTCGTCAAACGAGTTGTATGTGATTTTTTTTTTGTGCAAGCTCCACTGCCACATCACTAAGAAACACTGAATAAAAACAGGTTAACAGGGGGAGGGGGGGGGGTGCGAGCTGTAATTACCGTTTTCATTTCTGAAGAAGATTTATATATATATGTAGTCTTCTGATATGAAGCTATCTTTTTTTTATTTAGTTGTACGTTTATTTTTTGGATAGGTCGATATTTAAATTATAATTTTGGCCATTAGCACAAGCTTCTTGAATAGCTACTTATCAACAAAAAGTTAAAACATTTATTTTAAAATATGTTTGTAATTTGTCATCAGTGTAGTTATTTTGAAATACCTTCCAGTGATTCAACGGCCCCCGGTGAGCACATCTTAATTAGCCCATTGTTTGACTTTGCACCACTCAAAGCAAATATTTTTATTTATTACTATAGTGTAATCCTGGACTTGGTGCGAACGCCCTCTACGATCTTCTTTACAATCTACCTATTAAACCTATATTAATGTGTGGCTGTAGTATCGTCTGTTCTACCGTGGCAGAAGCTGCAAAGATGTGGAACTTGGTGGTGGTATGTTTATTCAAATTTTCTATCTATTATACTAATGTTATAGCTTAATGATATATATCTTATGTTAAAGAAAAGTTGGTATTATAATTAATTTCTATAGTTTACATTTTAAGTACGATTTAATTTAATTGAGAAAACATAATTGGCAGAAATTTTCAAACAGTTTTGTGTAATAATGTTTCTAAACACTAAATAACATTTTAAATACTTAACCGTGAAATATTCACCAGAAAGATTTTTTTCAATTAAATGTACATTCTAAGCAACTGTGAAAAAAAAAATGTATTTTTTGATTAGTAATCATTATTATTTCAATTTCACACGGGCATGAAAAAAGCTATATTTATTTAAAAGTTATACACACAATATTCTTTATTATGTAGCATCAGTCCTCACCGAAATGGGATGGTTTTGTTCGTTTGTCAGTGATTGAATCAAAAGATGAACTTAACAGATTTAGAGCCCCCCAGTGGCACAGCGGTATGTCTGCGGACTTACAACGCTAGAAACCGGGTTTCGATACCCGTGGTGGACAGATCACAGATAGTCCTTGTGTAGCTTTGTGCATAATTAAAAACAAACAAACAGATTTAGAAATATTTCAATATAGCCCAAACAGATTCTTAGCTGATATTCAGTGTTAGACCGTTTTATTATGGGAAAACAGACGGGTTCTCAGTTCACACACACACGTAGCGTTGGTTAACATCTGAACAGACTGGTTCTCAGTTCACACACACACACACGTAGCGTTGGTTAACATCTGAACAGACTGGTTCTCAGTTCACACACACACATACACGTAGCGTTGGTTAACATCTGAACAGACTGGTTCTCAGTTCACACACACACACGTAGCGTTGGTTAACATCTGAATAGACTGGTTCTCAGTTCACACACACACACGTAGCGTTGGTTAATTCCTAAACAGAAGGGTTCTCAGTTCACACACACACACACGTAGCGTTGGTTAATTTCTAAACAGTCGGGTTCTCAGTTCACACACACACACACACACGTAGCGTTGGTTAATACCTAAACAGAACGGTTCTCAGTTCACACACACACACACACACGTAGCATTGGTTAATTCCTAAACAGACGGGTTCTCAGTTCACACACACACACACGTAGCGTTGGTTAATTCCTAAATAGACGGGTTCTCAGTTCATATTTAATATATCTACATGCATGCCTAACAATAACTTATTACAGTATTGAAATCAGAATATACTTTACTTCTTTCATAGAATAGATTTTGATAGTTGGTCTTCTTCCACCTAATGAAACTTATAATCCTCTGTATGCGATGATAGAGGACAATGACCTAAGTCTCTTTTAGAAATACCTGATGACGGGTCTCATAAAAACACTCTTAAAATTTGATATGAATATTCTGACTTTGAAAACAGACATTTCTAACTTGTCAGTAAAATATCTAAGAAAACCCTATAACGAGTTCCTATTTAATTCAATAAAGTTGAACGTTCTTATTTTAAAATTAATTTTCTTCGTTAGCCTAATGTTGTTGGTTTTGAGGATTATCAATCTGAACAACACATTGTCACTAGTGGTCAGTGTTTAGGCCTTTGCTTTTTTCTTATGTACATTAATGATATTGATAGTGGCATAGTTAGTGGATAAGTAAAGTTTGTGTATGACATTCAACTCTTCAATGTTTCTAGTTTTATTGACGATGGTGTGATACTTCAGTATCACTTAGATCACTTGAATGAAACGTATTTATCAAATTACCTTTAATTATGATAAGTGCAAGACAAAGCACTTGGATTATTGGAATTTGGATCACATGCAACTGAAGAAAATGATCTTGGCATAGTGATGGTGAATAAGCCACTCAAGCCATAGAGGTAGTATTCGCTTGCTTGTAGTAAATCTAATAAACTCTGAGGGAGTATTTACAGAAATAAGTATTTAGGTTTTCATACAAAGCGCTAGTTAGGCATCACTCGGAACATTTCGGACAGTTTTGGTCTCCTTATGTAAGAAAGGATATTGATTCATTAAGAAAGGTTGCAGGTGAGGGCTCCTGTGATGGATCTGTGGATGGAAAGGTTAATTTCTTCTTTCATGAGAAGAATAACTAGGAAATCTATAGGATAAAAACCTCTGGTTTCTTTGTGTTGTGTTCATGTAAAGACATTGGACGAGAGGGCAAAAAGTTTAATATTTGGAAAAGTCAGGTTAGGTTCCAGTTAAGATAGCTGATCGAATGAGTTACCATCAGTAATAGTGGAACACTTTCTTCGAGTACAAAAGTGGAATCGATAGGCTTAACTATAGCTGTCCCCAATTTTTAACAATTGACCGTAAGAAAGGTACTCAGTCAGGTCCCCTACTGCCGAAAGTTCCCTAATTCTTTCAACCGAAAAAGAGGATTGGCTTTACTGTTATAACACCAACACATCTGGTAAAGTGGCTTACGTTCTGATACATCGTGTCTCGAACCCTGGAATCTGTTATCCATAGTCCAACATATTGACCACTAAGCCACGCCAAACTTCATGAAACTACTAATTTCAGAACAAAAGAGAAAAAAAACCTTGCAGCAAGAACGAAAACCCTTTTAATTACTCCAACCCAATAAAACTAAATAAATGTATCACATTATCAATCCCAAGTAACCCCGTTGGACCAGCGGTGAATTTATGGAATTACAACGCAAAAATGTGGAGTTCGTTTCTCCGCTATGGACACAGCAATAGTCCAATGTTGCATTACGCCAAAAAACAACAAAAAACACTATCAATCCAGAATTCAGTCAAATAAGTCTGAACTGACTTGAAATTTAAAATGTATTTCAATACAAGTAAATTTGGTAATAAAATACAGGTTTTCCCTGTTAAGACGTGTGTTATTTCCAACTATTAGTTTTTGCTTTTGGCAAGAAACAAGATAAATGACGTAACAGAAACACAGTAACATTTCTGTTGTTTCGTTAAACATAGGACAGATGTATCAAAGTCTAACGGGTAAATAGTGGTCTCAACTTGTTGTTGTTGTTGGGTTTTTCTAGTACAAAGATACACAATGGGCTATATGCATTCTGCCCACTGCAGGAAGTCGAATCTCCAGTTTTAGCGTTATAAGTTCATAAATTTATCCCCGACCCAGCGATCGGTATAAGCTTTGTTTGTTTGTAATTAAGCACAAAGCTACACAATGGGCTATCTCTGCTCTGCCCACCACGGGTATCGAAACCCGGTATCTAGCGTTGTATGTCCGAAGACATACCGCTGGGGGGAGCGGCACAAGCTCAAGAATGAAACGTTATCCAGTAAAGAGTAGATTTCTGTGTAATAGTAGACACCCGTTCGTATAAATTGAAGTCAAAGCTATTGTCAGTTAAAGCATTCTTATGATGCATACAGATCGTAAAACGAGTTATAATTCAAATCAGCCGTCAAATTAAAATGAAATAGATATACAGTATTTTCTTTCCAACTGAGTTCTGACTTTTGTAATTAAACGTCCGAATTATCATTTCTTGCAGGTAACCATTAAATAAAAAATATATAAACTGCATAAAACAGACAGTAGCTTTGCCAAGAGTATGTTTAAATTATATAAAGTTTAAAAATAACCCGTGAGAGGAAACTGAAGACGAGTCCAATTCCATAAATAGTGCAAGACAGCAATCTTTGAATCATTATTTTTATTCATTCGAGAAAAGTGCAGGAGGTGCTTAAATTTAAGTGCGTTTATGGTATACATGATGTATCGCAGGAAAAGGTCAAAATGGTTTCTGAATTTCTATATAGAAAATTGTAAAAGCCTTATCCAATCACTTTAATTTATAATCCGAGGTTATTAAATATTCAAGAAAAATGGCGTTCATGCTGCAACTTAATGTGTAGACTTCGAGTGTTTGGAAATATAACAAACAAACTGTAGACCTTCAAAGAAGATTGTATCAGGGACGGATAAAGGCCCGGGCTCTGAAAAAGGCCTGTTATGGGTTATTTTGTTTACCTTAGTTTTTAGTTGCAATCAATCGTAATAGGCCCGGTAGAAAAATTTAGACCCAGACCCCCGTGACATTTAAATCGGCTCCTGGATTACATTGTACGTCAGATCATTAGACAATTTGATTGGATTAGAAATTGTTTTAAAAATCAATTTTAACCTAAGAAACGCTACGATTTAAAAATAGATTATATGAGCTAATCAGGCAGGCATACCTCGTGCACGTTTGTATTTTTCAATGACGTCATAGAAAGATTCTCTTGTGAGTACATTACGCATCCTTCGTGTGATACGCTTTGTTGCGTAATATACTTGCTGTTATCGTTAACATAATCAATGAAATGGAAATGCAAAAACTTACACGTTGTTCTACACTTTAGGTATCCTATGGTTCCAGTTCTCCAGCTCTTTCGAATCGCAAACGTTTCCCGACTTTCTTCCGAACACACCCATCTGCCACGATCCATAATCCGACACGTATTAAATTGTTTCAGAAGTTTAGATGGTCTCGGATCGCCATCATCCAGGAAGCAGAGGAAGTCTTTATGTCGGTGAGTATATTTTAATCTTAAGAAAACTAATTTTCTAAATATTTCAAATGTCAAGAAATTTCATAAATTTACCACTGTTGTGAGATTTTTCAGTACTGTCGGATTAACCTTTATCTTAATGTTTCTATATCCATTTTATATAGTACTCCATATGAATAACGTTGAAAAAAAAAGTTCCCAAGTGGGTCAGCGGAAAGCCTACGTTCTTACAGCTCTAAAATCCGTGGTTCGATTCTACGTGGTGGACAGAGCGCAAAACAATTGCGTTAAGACAAACTTTGAAATAATCATGCTTTAAATAGACGTATTAGCGCAATATCGGTGTTGAATAGGCTTAACGAAATCCTTGTTTCTATAAGTCTTACATGATTAATTTGACTGTTTAGGCTTAACGAAATACTTGTTTCTATAAGTCTTACACTATTAATTTGACTGTTTAGGCTTAACGAAATCCTTGTTTCTACAAGTCTTACACGATTAATTTGACTGATTAGGCTTAACGAAATCCTCGTTTCTATAAGTCTTACACGATTAATTTGACTGATTAGGCTTAACGAAATACTTGTTTCTATAAGTCTTACACGATTAATTTGCCTAATTAGGCTTAATGAAGTCCTTGTTTCTATAAGTCTTACACTATTAATTTGACTGTTTAGGTTTAACGAAATCCTTGTTTCTATATGTCTTACACGATTAATTTGACTGTTTAGGCTTAACTAAATCCTTGTTTCTATGAGTCTTACACGATTAATTTGACTGTTTAGTTGAACAAACGTATAAGAATTTATTCATTTGGATTAAAACACTTTTTCCCTCTACCAGACTGGTGAAGACCTAGAAGAACGTTGTAAGGAGGCTGGTATCGAGATTGTAACGAGACAGAGCTTTCTCACAGACCCAACAGACGCAGTCAGAAACCTAGTGGTAAGGAAATAAACTACGATAATAAATTAATGGAAAATAGAATCAAGAAAATAAAAAAAATATATAAATACATTTTAATGAGCATTATCTGTTACTGTATTCTGATTGTATCAGATCAAAATTAGATGCAACTATGCGCAAATAGCCCACGTGTTTCTTTGCGCGAAAATTCTAAAACAACAACGTCAAAACAAACGTCTTTTGAGTAAGCAATAATACAGAAAGGTTTTTTTTTGCATTTTATTTTAAAACGTTGTTTACTTTTTTTTTTTTACAGTAACAAAATAAGCTTCTTTAACTCTCGCCATATTTTCGCTAACGAAGAATTTGTTGTTTGTTTACTAGAGACAAGATGCACGAATTATTGTTGGAATGTTTTACGGAGCTGCCGCTAGGAGGGTTATATGCGAGGTGAGTTTTGTGTGTGTGTGTATCCAGAAAATAGAAAATAACAAATACATAACAAGCCTGGCTTCAGCTTTTCTTAAGTGTGTGTTTGTGGGAGGTGAGATATAATTCCACTAAATTCAGCCATCCTAAATACCACGATAAATAATTAGATTAAATAAACTGAAGAGTATATAACTGTTGATATAACAAAAATATTTCACAGCTGGTTTTACTGCTTCAAACCTTTTATGAAAGTTCGTATTTGGTTGATTTCCTGATTTTCTTTTTCTTTCCAAATGATAATACCAACTGTACATCAATTAAGTGGAAAGTAACGAATTAATTCGTAAATGTTTAGTATATTAGTATATTTCCTAATCATGGGCGTCCGCGGAGGGGGGCACTTGCTTCCACCTGCAAAATGAGAAACATTTTTTTTATACATTAAGCATATGTATATGAATTTTTCTATTCAATTCACAATTTCACTACTTTGCCTCCCATCCCCAGAAAAAATTTCTGCGGACGCCATGTTCCTAATATTATTTTATAACAACCAGTTATATAAATATTACATTCATTAAATGAAACAAAGATGTACCTTTTTTTAATACCTCAGTAATGTGATGTATCTAAACAAGAATACATACACGAATGTAATGTTTACCTGCGAGTTGATAGGCCTAATATATTACTGTTACAAGATTCTGGAATATTCCTTGTAAAAAACAAAACAATAAAGAGCTAGTACACTGTCTTTGTAAAACTGGAACATTGCTAGGACAGGGCGAAAAAATACTAAAGTGAAACCGTATTTTGTGAAACCGATATAGTAGTTCATCTCATCAGGTGATTCATAGTCACAAAGGTTTTTAGCATTTGTTTTGTGTAGAAAAAAACATAACATTCTTTAATATAAAATTACTAGAAACAATATATTTGAACTCTATTTAAGTTTTTATTGCCCACTAGTCTCAACGATAACTCTGCGATTTTATAACGCTAAAAATCGGATTTCGTTACCAGTAGTGGACAGAGCACAGATAACCAAATGTGTAGCTTTGCGCTTAACAACAAAACAAACAAACGTTTTGTATTATAATTGTCCCCCGCTGGGATAGCGGTAAGTCTACAGATTTGCAACGCTAAAATCAGGGGTTCGATTCCCCTCGGTGGACACAGCGGATAGATAGCCCGATGTGGCATTACTATAAGAAACACACACACACAAGCACACATTATAATTTTCGTCTCTTTCTAACACCTAGGCCTACAAACAGAAAGTCTACGGTAAACAGTACGTCTGGTTTTTGATTGGCTGGTATGAAGACGACTGGTACACCATTCAGGAACGTGGTTACAATTGCAGTGTCGAACAAATGAAAGAGGCTTTAGAGGGACACTTCACCACAGAAGCACTGATGATGAATCAAGGCAATGAACGTACCATTTCTGGAATGGTCAGTAGCATTTATTTACTTTAAATCTATTTATAGTTTGATATGATACATTAAATATTGAAAGGACTTGTTTCTACTTTTTCATCAGAGCTTTGTGATTTTGTTGAACTGTTTTGACTCGTCATTGACTTACTTCTTAAAATCATATTGTTCAATGAACTTGATAATAAATAAGAGTTTTAAAAGTGCTTTACTTTTGTGTTCAAAATATGCTTTATCTACATTTCATGCAAGTAAATTGTAACTTTTTTTTCGTTTCATTTATTCATTTTTATTTCAAAGAAACAAAAATATATATTTTTTTCTAATTCTCACGACACTTACAGACATCAGAGGACTTTCTTAGACGTTATAAAGAAGCTTTAACGAATTTCGGCTATGTCGATCGATTACCCGAGGGACACCAGGAGGCGCCACTAGCTTATGATGCAGTATGGGCTGTAGCCTTAGCCCTAAACAAAACTATTAGAAGACTGTCTGAAATGGGCATGTCATTGGACGATTTTACGTATGAAAACTCAAAAATTGCTCGAGAGATTTATTCAGCTATGAACACAACTCAATTTCTGGGCATTTCGGTGAGCTTGATACTGTTAAACTTTACATTTTTCTTTATCTCTTTTAACCCTAGAGAAAAAGTAAGTTATGTGAAACCAAAATACGTTTGTGTTTTACGTGTTCTGTATTCCATTGCGACCTTCGTAATAAGTATGGATACTTTAAGTAGACTCTCAAAAATTCGATTTGCTGTTGTAATTAAATCTCTGAACCTAAAAATTTGGTCTAAGATGCTTAAAATTAAAAACAAAAATCAGTAAATTAAAAAATAATGTTGTTTGTGCTATATAAGATTTCTTACTCTCTTGTCAGTAAATATTTACATCTTTTTATTATATTGGGTTTTATCTAATATCTCATTCAATTTTAAAATGTGCCATTATCGCTAATGCAGTCCATGAATTCCAGAATATTGCTACGGAGTAACTCTGATGAGTGCTTAATCTTTCTATGAATAAACACCGTTAGCATCTAGAATAAAACTTGTGTTGTTTAGTTTCATTACTTGGCATTAACTCGGAAAAAGTCTTTGTACTTAATTTAGCGTTGGAATAATTAATTTAGAAAAATTAATATTTAAGTGTAAGTCTTCATTTTTACAAATGAATGTATTTATTATACTTACAAATGTAATATAATTCACCAAATGAAGCGATTAGTCATGATTTTTCAGAAGAAAAGTTTCTGGTTCGTGTACTTACGCGACAAGAAAGAGATCTGGCATGTTCAAGAAACGTTTTTGGTTAACATTTTTACGAGATAACAGAGAGAGAGAGGGATGTGCATTTTCACAAAACGTTTTTAGGTCAGGGTTCTTACACGACAAGAGTGAGATATGGTTTGTTCAAGAAATGTTTTTTGGTTAGGGTATTTACACTATAAGAAAGAGATCCAGAATGTTCAATAAACATTCTTCATAGGGTATTCACGATAAAGGAGAGAGACCAGAGCTGTGGAAGAAACATTTCTGGCCAGGTATTCACACAATAAGAGACGGAGGTATGGCTTGTTCAAGATATTCACACTAAGAGAGAGAGAGGGAGAGAAATGCCTGACACGTGTAAGAAACGTTTTGGTCAGGATATTTACCAGACAAGGGAAAGATCTAGCATGCTTAAAAAACATTCAACACAGGGTATTCACGCCAAAAGAGAGACCTGAGCTGTAGAAGAAACGTTTCTGGTCAAGTATTCACACAACAAGGGAGAGATCTAGCATGCTTAAAAAAACATTCAACACAGGGTATTCACGCCAAAAGAGAGACCTGAGCTGTCAGGATATTTACACGATACTCTTATCATATTTTAATAGATAATTTACATAATGTAAATGAAAGTAAAATGGAAATGAACGGTCTTGTCATTTGTTAAGTCACTTCTATTCTGAAAAATGTTCGTTGGAAATCCTTTAGTAACTGAAATCAGTACTGGTGCAAAATAATGTTTGTTTCAGAATTTTCGCGCAAAGCTACATAAAGGGCTATCGGTGCATAGCCGTCCCTACTTTCGTACTGGGAAAACTTAGAAGCTAGTCAACATCATCCACCGCTAACTCTTGGACTACTTTTTCTGACTGATTAGTGGAATTTTACTGTCACTCTTATAGCGCACCCACGGTTCCAAAGTACGGAGCGCGTTTTTCCGGCAACAGATCGCGAACCGAGACTTTTCGGAAGTCTTATCATTCTAACTAATAGGCCAGGATCGGCCTCGGAGTACGACTAATAGGCCAGGATTGGCCTCGGAGTACAGTATCTTTCAGTGACTGTTTATTGTGTTTTCAGAATTTTTCTAAAATAATTTTTTCCCATTTTGTTATATATAGAAATAGACTACTGCGATTTTTTTTTCAAAATGACTTTATAAAAAAAAAAAACCTAGGAAGAAAGACTACTAATTTGTTCTGTTTTTTTATTTATAGGGTCATGTTGCCTTTTCTTCTAAAGGAGATCGTATTGCTTTAACACAAGTGGAACAGATGATAGGTAAGAACAGGCTTAAGATTATTTGCTTCAGAATCTCGTGCAATGTTGCAAAAGATCTATCTACGCAGAGACGTTCCTCTTTTTGAACTGATAGACTAGAGGGAAGACTGCCAGTCAACATCTGCCAGTCAACATCGTTCTCTCTATTGTCTGATCGAATAGTGGGACTAATGAAATTCTTTTAGTGCATCTACGGCTGTAAAGTATGTAGCGCGTTTTTTTACTATACCGAGTCGAAAACTCGGATTCACATTCTGGGCGTGCCAACTTATAGATCACGCCCGGCCCAAATTTTGAGTTCTAACTAGTAACTTACCTCACAATAATAAAGATCTCCTTGTAGTGCTGGTTTGGACCGATTGGTTTGTTAAAGTACAGAAACAAACATCATGAACGTGTATATAAGTATCTATCAGGAATTTTTATTGGACGGTAAAATACGAGTTAAATTACTCATAATGGTCAGGGTGTGACCAATACAACAAGTCGGTCATTATAGCGTGATATTAAAATAAGGAATCTTGTTATTATAGTTGTAGTTCCAACTAAAATATTAATACACTAAGATTTTCATGAGAAGTACAGTTAACAATCCTGTTTTTACGACAGCATTTGTTGGCTTATATTTCTTCGCTTTTTATCTTAAGAAAATCAGGGGCATTTTATGTGATAACCATTCCTTGTAGTATTAAAGTTTTGTTTTGAATTTAACTGAATCAGAAAACAGTGTCAGTATTTTACATATATATATCGCACGAATTCGAACCCGGCTCGTCTGTTTCGAAATCGAGAACTCTACCACAGGGCCTACTCGTACCCCCTCTTCCCACCAAAAAGAAAAGAGAGAGAAGAAATAGAAGACAAAATAAACGATAGTTATTATTTACGAAACGTATAATTTGCTTTGATATTCAGTATGAACGAAGCAGACCAAAACGTATCATGCTATGTAGCATGCACCTTGTTAGATTTAGTACAGAAAATGCCGCTAGGAGCAAAAGATGTCCTACTGATGTATTAATTAAATTTGGACAGCACCTGTGTTGTTGATTTCTCCTTTAAAAATTTTTAATTGTATTTTTTTTTAATTTTGTAGTTAAACACGAAGCTACACAATGGGATATCTGTACCGGTGTTTATTTAATTATATTAATATACAATACCTTGAGTGTTGTATCAGTGGCGGCTGTCCTGTTGTTAGTATTGTAATTTTATTTTGCATAGTTGGCACGTGTACGATGATTAGAAATGCATGTTTAGAAATAGTTCCTAAGTACATATAATCATTGCCGATATGGGGCTTCGGGAAACTTTAACGAAATGTATATAAAAAAAAGGGTAAAAACGTGTTTTTAACTAAAGTTTAACTTGGAGATAAAAACTTAATATGTACAGAAGTAAGTAGATTAACAATAAAAATTAGAATTGCAGTAGGCCCGGCATGGCCAGGTGGTTAGGGAGCTCGACTCGCAATCTGCGGCTCGCGGATTCGAATCCCCGTCACACCAAATATCCTCGCCCTTTCAGCCGTGGGGGCGTTATAATGTTACGGTCAATCCCACTACTCGTGGGTAAAATAGTAGGCCAAGAGTTGGCGGAGGGTGGTGATGACTAGCTGCCTTCCCTCTAGTCTTACACTGCTAAATTAGGGACAGCTAGCGCAGATAGCCCTAGTGTAGCTTTGCGCGAAATTAAAAAAACAAAAACAGAATTGCAGTATATAAAAATACCTTAAAGCGTGATTAAAGGATTCTGTTAAATATATTTTTATTTTTCGGAAAAAATATTTTAAACATTGTATAGTTAATTAACCTCATCATAAAGTTGGTTCATAATGTTGCATTTTATTGATTCTAGTATATTTTTGATAATCATAACTATTTCAAATTAGTTGCTGTTACTTCTGAACTTTGAGGTAGTTTTTTTATGCAAAATTTCATGGTTGGATTTTTATCTTTATTTAATTCTATGTTTGTAGATTTGGCGCAAAGTTACACGTCCCTAATTTCGAAGTGATAGATTAGAGGGAAGGCATCTAGTCAATAAAACCCACCACCAACTGTTGAGCTTCTCTTGTCATACCGATCGAATAGTGGAATTTGAACGTCACTCTTATAACACACCCACAGCCCCAAATTGCATAGCGTGATTATTATTTTTTACTGGTAACGGGATTCGAACCATGGAACCTTAGCTCCACAATCCGGAACGTCGACCATCGGGCTGCATTCTGTCTTGTTTTAGCATAATTCTGTTTTTGTTCTCCTAATTTTTGTTTGTTTAATAAATAAAAATATATTTTCTGCATTTACCTCCAGACGTAAATACTTTATTGAAATCTTACAATTTGTAGATGGCGAGTACAATCTGCTTGGTTACTACGACACCCAGATGGACAATTTGACCTGGTTCAAGAAGGAACAGTGGAAAGGTAACTTAACACTTTTCTATATAATTTCAAAGTACACGCACACGGTCTTAACAATACGTTCTTACGCTATCAATAGCGTTAGAATTTCAACAGTACGGTTGTTAAATCCTAAGGATGGATAATATAATACACGTACAAATAAATACTCTATCGAGTGATCTTCACCTAGGGACCACTGAGGACAAAAGGTTTTAAAGAATGTTTTCATCGGAAACGGAAATTATTTTAATTTTGTCGGGTTTAAAATCATTAAATAATTTATATATTTTCAGAAAGCGTGATAATAATTTGTTTTTGAATCCGATTAACGTTATATTTGTACATATAATAATCTGACGAGAAGCCAGAGTACGGAATCTGTCAGAACAATCCGATTACATGTGACAAAACTAACGGGTAGATTAGTGATGTTAAGATGTATACAAGGTGACAAAACGCCGTAAATTAAATGAAATTGAGAAAAGACAGTTTATAGGTTGCTGGGAATGTGGAAAATGTTTGTGCATAAACGAAACGTTTCTTAAGCTTATTCTTAATTTCTGACTTTTTGCTTCGAAGATTTACAAGTGAATTTATCTTAATGATAATAACAATAGAACGTGTGTATATACGACTTTTATTTTCCAGTAAAGATTGCTTAAAGTTCTTTATTTGTTTGAAGTTAAGCACAAAGCTACACAATGGGCTATCTGTGCTCTGCCCACTACGGTTTCTAGCGTTGTAAGTCCGCAGACATACAGCTGTGCAACTGGGACTTTTTTCTTCCATTAAATATCGTTTAAATATTTTTAAAGTGAGATATTATTAAATATAAATATATTTTAAGATATTGTAAAATTCATAGATGAGAGAAGTGAAATAATTGGACTTTGATTGATTGATTGATAATTTTCACTCATTGAACTTGTACTATTCAATGTTTCTAATATGATAACAATGTCATATGATAACATGCTTTCTTTATTTTTTACTTTTAATTACATTTCTATAGAACATATAGACAACCATTTATCAGTAATAACCTAGTCGCTCGTCCCCCCCCCCCCAATCCCCAAAAGAGATTATTTGGGTCCACCTGGGGAGGCGGACCCCCACACTATGGGAATACGCAACTGGTGAAATTAAGATGTTCTGGGGAGAATTTGGAGTAGGAATATCGTTGACGAGTTGTTAATTTCAAGCGTTCCAAATGTGAAATTTCACAGACTGTTTCAAGAATCTCGAAAAATATTCGATAGATGTTCTGGCCTTTGATTAATAAGTTACTTTGTAAAGAATAGTGTGAGAGAAATATACTTTTGAACTCTACATATCGATAATTATGTGTCCCAAACATGAATCGTGACTTGTTGTTTTTTAAAAGGACTGTTTCAAATTATGCCGAGGTCCGTTAAGGCTTAGGAATACTAAAATATTAAATGTTGGAAAGTGTAGGTTGAAGTGATTTTCAGAACTTAATACTGTTCTAAAATGTGCGTCACGAAGGGGGAAAATTTTGACAAATATTCTCTAAACTTTATTTTTATTGAAGTGCAATTTTTTAACAAGACGCTGGGTCGATGGGCTCAAATAAATTCGTAGTACTTAACTTTTATTAAATTAAGTATTACCTACCAAAGTTATCTATCAGAATATCTCGGATTTATCAACGTCGAAATTTACATATGAACTAGCTCTGTAAAGGTCATATGCACAAGATGTTAATATTAGTGATCACCTATTTTTCATTTCAACATTACCCATCAGTATCCATCATAAAACAAGCATGGCGTCCCCTAGCGGTTAGGGCGCTCGAAATAAGGTCGAATGAAGAATTGCATCATAAAATAACCTTAATTTTGTTGCAAGTTCTTAAACATAATAAAATATCAATTTTATGCATAATAATATTTTTTCCCCTTTATAGATGGTCGACCACCCCCTGACCGGACGATAATTAGGCATACCCTAAGGACAGTTTCTTCGAGTTTGTTCATCAGCATGTGTGTTGTTTCTTTTATCGGCATTGTCTGGGCCATTGCATTATTGTTTTTTAACTGGGCTTTCCGTACGTCCAGGTAAAGTTTGTGGCATGTTCCAGTTACAGGTTGATAAACGTTGAATGTTTGTTTGTTTAATTTCTCGTAAAGATACTCGAGGGCTATCTGCGCTAACCCATCCTAATTTAAAAGTGATAGACAAGAGGGAAGGCAGCTAGTCAAAGCAACCCACCGCCAACTCCTGGTCCATTCTTTAACAATAAATAATGGGATTGGCCGTCATATGATAACGTCCCCACGGTAGAAAGGGCGAGGCATGCTCGGTGACGGGAATGTTGAATATCATTAGATAAATTTATTTGTTTAAACACAGAGTTGCACAATGGGCTATCTATGTTGTACCCAACACAGGAATCGAACCCCAAATTTTAGAGCTATAAGCTTAGCATTAGACCACTAGAGGCTTATCATAAAAAATGTTTAAGGAGTCAATATTTAACTGCGCTTTACATGCATGAAAAATATCCGGAACTCGCTTTATAAAATGTTTAGATAATGGCCTAATTAAACAAAGTCTGTTAACATATCTACGGAGTGCATCTGTAATAGAACATATGCTTCAACTTGTAATGTAAAGTGGAGGGACTAATTACATTTAGAATAAAAAAAAATGAAACCTAATTTATCGTTGGATTCACCACTTGTCACTGAGTTATGCACGTTTCAGAGAACCCCCCCCCCCCTGGTCAGTAACCCTAGACAAGGACAAATCGAAGGAATAAAACTAGAATTCATGTAGCGATATAGTGTATGGTACACGTACGGTGTTTTCAGATGTCTTTTTACATTTATCTAGCGTCATGAGTAGGGAGAACCTCTTACGAATTCTTAGAACTTATGAATAAGAGTTTTTGTTTGAAGTTAAGCACAAAACAACACGGTGGGCTACCTATGCTCGGCCCACCAAGGGTATCGAAATTCGGATTCTAGCGTTGTAAGTCCGCAGACTTCCCGCTGTGCCACTGGTGGGGGGGGGGGTGAGTAAGAGCAAGAAGGAATATAGTCCAAAGGTCGCTAATTACTATCACACGCTTAGTTCTGAGGCTAGAAAAATGATACAATTTCTTCAAGGCTAAAATACAATAATAGTATTATAATATGCAAAAACCGGGTGTGGCCAGATGTGTAGCGTGTCGGACTGTGGATCCATGAAAATAATTTGCACTCCACACTTTCGGGCCAAGGATGCGTTATAAAAGAGACAGTCAGATCCCAATATTCGATTAGATTATTGTAGTTAAGCACAAAGCTACACAATGGGCTGCGGTTTTTAACGTTATAAGTCTGTTGACATACCGTTGAGCTACTGAAGGGGGGGGGGGGTTGATTAGAGTAGTCCAAGAGCCTATTGAGTGTCTGCCTTCCATTTCTTTTATCGTTGACCTGGCATGGCCTAGTGGTTAAGACGCTCGACTCGCAATCTGAGTCGAATCCCAGTCACCGAACATCCTCACCCTTTCAGCCGTAGGGGCGTTACAATGTTACGTTCAATCCCACTATTTGTTGAGTGGTATTGTCTAGCTGCTTTCTCTCTAGTCTATCAATGCTAAATTAGGGGCGGTTGGCGCAGAGAGCCCTCGTGTAGCTTTGGCAAAATTCAAACCAAATCAAACTTGTATGTTAATAAGTCAGATTTATTTCTATCTATATGTGTAGATGTGTAGATTACGTGTGTCAGTCTGCGAACATCACTAAACAATTGTTGTATACGATTCATAACGTAGGTAAATTAATATGTAGAATTATATACGGACTTTTCTCTATGTTAAAATACTTTTAAGAGGGCCGAAAGCTCGTAATAACGGTATTTAAGATATTGGGCTTAACACTTAACGTAACGATGGCGCAGAATGAACAGGGATGAATGTAGTTATACTGGTGTGTTTTAATATCCTTTAAAGATTTGTTTTCTAATTAATGGTAAACTATTTATGGCACTACAAAATTCCACACTTTAAACTATTAATTCTTGAATTATAACCGTTTAATCATAGCTTTGCCATGAGAGTGTTTGGTTTGTTTTTTGTTACATTTTGTTTGTTTGTTGTCAAGCCCAATCTGTGCTCTGCCAACTGCGGGTATCAAAGCCCGATTTTTAGTGTTGTAAGCCCTTTGACTTACCGTTTAACCACCGGGTTGTCTTTTGTTAGTTCAGAACAAGTGTTTTTTTTTTGAAGTTTTATTTTTATTGTTTTTCTCTGTTACAGATACATCCAGCTCTCGCATCCAATGTGTAACAACATAATTTTAGTGGGAATCGTTATATCTTTACTGTGTGTCTGCCTTCTGGGACTAGATGGCAAGTTTGTAGGTCCTGGAGGTTATGGATATCTATGTCAGGTAAGTGTTAATGTACAAAAAAAAATCGCTTAACACCGAGTGGTTAATGTGCAATATTCGTTTCACCTTTCCTGTTTGAAAGGAACATTTTGTTCAATATAGTGTTTAAAGGAGTCCCAAGCATTAATTGGATTAATAAAAGTTTTGTTATTACAAAAATGGACGATAGACTGTACAGGAAAAATATGGTAATAAACAAAATTTCCAAGCAACTTTTGATAATTTCAAAAAGAAATTTCTTAGGTTCATTAGCAATATTATTTTAAATTCTATACAATGAATAAAACGCGTCTCTTACCCAAGAAGAGATATCCATCTTATTTCCCACAATCACTGAAGCTGCCCAGATGTTTGTGACAGAAGTCCATATTGGGGCCCTTTATTTTAACACCAACTATTTTTTTTTACATATGAAAGATCAACTGACCATTTATATTCCCAATCATTTAATATATTGTTACGTCTCTGGTCGTTTGTTAATTTCCCGTAAAAATTCTTCCCGAGAAACATCAGCGATACAAGTCCTTTCTTAAAATAAAACTAGTTTATTCTTTCTCAATACAACTTTGCAATGCACAGAATTTCCACGGTCACTTTAACTTAAACACACGCTATAATTCCCAACGATTCACGCACTTTACTTACGTTCACTACCGCTCACTTGATTCAGTTATCTGTCTCTATCTCTCTTTAATCTGCTATTATACCTGCTTTATTTGCCGGGTTTATATATTAAAATAGAGGGCGCCTGGAAAAGACTAGAGTTGCCAAGAAAAGTCATGATCCTTTAAGAAACTCTTGACGTATTACCAGCGTCACGTGACTTCCGCTGTCGTAACAATATATAAATGTGTGTGT